CAAATCTCATGAAAAAAAATAAGTTAGATGAGAATAAAACTGATATCAGTGGACAAATGCTATTTGTACAACATATGCTTCTATTTCTTCTGATGAAGAATTGGGTAACTGAGTTATAAACTATAAAATACATACATGAGAAAAATAAATCCTAAGTAGAACTAGTTAACTAATTGAAAAGCCTGAGGGTAACAAGAAATAATTATCTATGAATTAATAGGTTACTAATAAGAAATGTACCAAAATTGGGGCCATGGAGATGACTCAGTGGGTAAAGGCATTTGTGGTACAAGCCTGACATTCTGAGTTCAGTTCCCAGACCCCACATTAAAAAGCTGGATGCAGTGAAGTGAATCTATAATCCTAGCAATCCTACTGTGAGATGGAAAGCAAACACAGAATTGGATTGACATTAGCTTGGCTTTCACGACACTCAGAAACCATGCTAGAGATCCTGCTTAAGCAAGGGAAAGGGGAGAACTGACTCTTGAAAGTTTCCCTCCTACCTTTACATGTGTGCTGTGGCACCCATGCACACACATGCATATGTGCCTGTGCAATACACACACATACATACACAAACATAAAAAATCCACCAAATTTGGATGTTAATTTCACTCAACATGCTTCAGTACAATCATATTCCTCTAGAAAATTTGAGTTCAATAGACATGATGTATCTATGTTTTTGGATGAATTCCCATGTGAGTCTTAGGCCCATCAAACTCTGAATACCACTGGTCTACAATGGAACATTTTGTTGCCTTAGACTTTATCAGTAAGTAAAGAAAACAGAGATTTTTTTTTTTTGGAAGTAACTAACATATTAACTGTAGTTCTTGTTTGTTTTGCTTTTAAATATGAGAGCTTATTCCAAAGTGTAGAAAAAAGCATCTTACAAGTTGTTTTGAAAGAAGTTTTCCATTTGGAAAGTAAGCCTAGGATTGACTGAGAAGAGATTATGGTGAGGAGGGCTCATTAGTCTAAGCTTATTTTCCTGAGCTCCTGATCAATGGTAGGTATGTGGTAAATATTTGTTGATTGAATGTAAAAGTGTTTAAGTAAAGAAATGCTGGCCAACATATTTCTATAGAGAAGACTATAATGTATAAAATGTAAAATGAAAATTCATTCCAGTACTGCAGCAACAACCAAGAAAGGGAAGCTTTGTTTCACAACTGCCATGATTTCATCCAGTACTATTACTAATAGTTTCATCAGAATTTAAATTTTCTTTCTTTGTGCTTCTTGGATACATTTGATTCTTCCTTGTACCTTTAGCTGTTCTACCTGGTGTGATTTTTGGTGACCCGCCCAAACGGTAGATAATAGGGGTGGTACATCAGATCGTAGTGATCAGAGTGAAGGCGAAGGGCATGCCTTTCCCTCCAAATGATGTTGCCTTTGGAAGCCTCTCAGATTCTCCATCTGTCTCTGGTGCAGTACAGCAAGCTACATGTGGCCTATTTTTTTTTAGATCTTTGCTTCATTAAGACTGTGTCAAATAAAAATGCTATTTTACTTAAATAAAAATTCAAATGCTTAGTGTTATTAAGAATCCAATCCTATAGTTATATTAGGTTTGTTTTTCTTTGGAGGGAGTCATTTTATGTCAACATATTCAATGAACAGTTAACTTTTTTCCTACTTATTTCATAGTAATACAGAGAAACCATAAATATGGTGTTTTCTTTTTAAAATCAGATTGGGCAATTTAAGACATGCTGTCATTTGGATTAGGAATGGATCAGCCTATGGGGCTGTGGAAATGGCTCAGAGTTAAAGTGTTTGCCACCTAAGAGTGAGGACTAGAGTTGGACTCCCCTGAACCCACATATATCCTGTGGGTATATGTAGTTCCAGCCTCAGAAGGGGATTATCCCCAGAGCAAGCTGGCTAGCGAGACTAGTTGTTTCAGCGAGTTCTGGGTTTGAATGAGAGACCCTTCCTCAATGAATAAGGCCAAAGAGCAATGGAGGATGATTCCCGACATCAACCTCAGGTTTCCACAGGCATGCACTCGCAGTACATGTGCCTCCTTCTGCCAACCACCCCCCTTCACCACACACACAAAGGCACCCCCCCACATATGAAAACTGAAAAAAAAAGAATGGATGAATCTATGTTTATCTTAGCCAGTTAATTATGTGGCTCCTCCTTTTAAGCAATAGTTTACTGGCCCATAATACAGATTGGCAAACTGACTCACAAGCCAGGAACAGCTAACCTTTTTTAGGATAAAGTTTTATTGGAACATAGCCATTCTCATTTGTTTATGTATGTGCCTATGATTGTGCTACAGTAGCAGAACTGAGTAGTCTCAAAGATCACCTCCTCCAGAAAGCTTGAAATATTTGCCCATTGGCCCATTACAGAAAAAAAAAAATGCTGTCTGCTGGTTTATAAATAACATGATTGAGTTTGGTGCCCTGAGGTCCTAATTAAGAAAAAATACATAGTAATTTCAAATGAGATCTGTATATTCCAAAAATATTTTATGCTGTATACATAGTAAGAATATTAGTTACACTTTTTAAAAACCTACAAAACTTTCACCTGAAAACTCATAATAGGATTTTGCATCAAACAGAGATCATCTATAAAAACTGTATGATAACCAAAACTAAGCATGTGTGAAAAGGCACAAGGAAACCTTTATATTCTAATTAAAACATAAAAATTAAAAATATCTGAAGGATTTTCTTTACCCTGTAGTACTTAGAAAATTCCTTCTTTCCAGGCGGTTACGATTACTAATTAGATCAAGTGGGTTAAAGACGTAGCATCTTATATTTGCGGTTGTCTTTAGTTGTCTCTGAGACAGAAGATTTACTAAAAGAGCTGGAGAAAATGTTGCAGCAAGCACAAGAACCTGCAGGAGCACCTGATGAGTCAGAGAAGGAGCACGGAGAAGAGACGTGTGCAGGAGAAAAGGTAACATCGACGGTTGCCATCAGGCCTAAATAGCAGCTTCAGAGTCTGTAAAGCACAGAATTATTTCTGATTGTACATGTTAATTATATATGCTACTTTCTTCACATCTGAAACTTGAGTCCTTGATTATCATGATGTTGATAAACTAGTAGCCTGTCAAGAAATCAGACAACATCTACCAGTGTTGCCAAAATGTTTTTTTAAGTTGAGACGGTCTTAATTTTAGTTCTTCGGGTTTGGAGTGAAGAAAGATGTAGGGGACCCCTGTAGACCAGCGTAGAGAGACCCTGTAGTGGCTACACTTATAAAATGCCTGACAGAAAGAAATGACCTATAACAGGAAGGATTTATTTTTCTTGAGGATTCAGGGTGTTAGTCAGTCCATCATGATAGGAAGGTCATAGTGGTGTAGAGCTGTTCATATCGTGGTGAGCCAGGAAGCAGAGGAAAGGAAATGCAGGAAGGGGTTCCAGGGCAAGATATAGCCCCAAAGACATGTCTCCAGTAACTCATTTCTTCACATGAGCCCCACCTTCTTCCTGTCCCCATTTACCAATAGATAGTGCCATTGTATTGCATATCCATCAAGAGATTCATCTATTGGTTAGGTTATAGCTATATGCTGAATCTTTTATAGAGTTCATATGTTGATTAGCTCAGAGCATCCATGATCTAACTTTCTCTAGAAATACCCTAGCTGACTTACCTATTCTTTAAATAACATATTCCTATTAGGATTTCTTCATTCATACAAGTTGACAATTAAGATGAACAGCCACAGACTTCTCCCATATTTCTGATCATTTAGGCAAGAGAAGTGGACACAATAGTGAGTCTCTAGAAAGGGGGAGCAGATTTCTGGAAAATCTTCCCTGTCTGGTTCCTGCACTAAGATAACTGCTATCAAGGAAAAACTTCAGTATTAATAAAACAGGTAGATTTTTCTCAATGAGTTTTTTTCATTCATATCTAGGTTTATCTCCTTTTTTCTTTTTGTCAACTATGCTGTACTCATAAAGGCCATGTGTGCTTACTTTATCCAATATCTCCACAAATAAAATGAGAGTTTGTGATAAAAGGCCAAGGCCATTTATATAGAACAGCAATGCAGTAGGTAAGTATGAGAAAAATAGTTCTCAGTAGCCTTAAGGGTTCATATATTCATTGCATTCATACATTCAGATAGTGTGCCCAGAGTCAAGAGAGTACACAGAGACTGAATCTCAAATATAGTAAATTTAATCGTCATTGCTATATTATTTATATTGATAATACAAATATTGGTCCTGCTATGAAGGACTTGTTTAATTTGACAGCTAGTTATCTCCTGCTTCAGAGGACTTAAGAATTAGATAAGACAAACTGGGATATGTGCTTAGCATCTGCCCAGACACCTTGGGTCAGCTATTGTCATAGGTGAGAATTGACAGTGGTAGTTTTCAGAGAAAATGAATGCTCAGATCATCTCTTGTTTCCCCATTCTCACTTAGAGCCACTAGCATCCTCACCAGTCTCTTCTCAGTAAAAGATCAATTTATAAATAGGCAAGTAGTCCATACATTTTTGTCGGACTGCCCAGTTGCATGATTTCATTTAGATATTTAGCAAGTATGAAGACATCAACATGAGCCTAGGCTTTATTTCCATCTGTAGTTATGAGATAGGGTCTCCATGGGTGGTGCAGATTCTCCATGTAGTGGAGACTGGCCTTAAACTCTGATCCTCCTGCGTCAGCTACAACTCCCAAGTCCTGGAGTTATGGGTAGGCAGATAAAAATGAATCTTTTTAACACTTCTTTTATTGAATTAGAAATTAAAAAACCATACAGGATTTATCACTGTAGAAATAAGTGTGTTAGAGGGAAATGAATGTCAACTCCTACTGAGTTGAAAAATATGGTAAGCTTCCTTGATCAGCACCAGAAATATCACTTTTACCTGAATTTGCATGCACTATAAATGCCATTTTCTGATTAAGGTTCCTTTTTAAGTGATTTGCTTTTCTTTATGGGTTGTACCTTTGCAGAACAAGATATATAGATTGATGACAATGGCATGTATGCACATAATTAATATAAAAATTAGCCTTTTCTAGCAATTGTGTGCTTGATTTGAGCACTGCATGGTTTTATGTGACTTTTTTTCCACCTCTAGTAGTTTGTCTTTTCAAAAATACAGCCTGGTTGATTTTTATAGTGATGTCCTGGAGCTTTTATAGCCACAAAATTGACTTCTGTTTTGCTATTAGAATTAGTAACTTGATAGAATAGAAAATTACTTCTGATTTTTATTTCTTATGGTAAAATACATAGTTTTAATACATCCCCATGCAGGGATTTCTTTTGTTTTAGAGTCTTGTATTATTTTATGCTTTCAAAAGGCACTAAGGGATTGTGAAAGTTTAATTATTTTAACTTGCTGCCAGGTGAGTGCCTCCTGCAGGCTGTTAAGAAATGCTCTGCACACAGCTTGTGTTTCTGGGTTCCTGCCAGGTTCAGGGTGTTTGAAACCTTGCTCCCCATTAATGAGGAGAGCAGCAATAAGGCCAACCAAAAGCTGGAGCAATTTCCACTTCAAAAGTAAAGAAATAATCACCCCTGGAATTTTTTCTTTTCTTTATTTTTTTCTTCATGATTTCCACAGAAAATTAATGCAGCTTGTACTTCAAATTGGAGATGGATTTGTTTTTTAGGAGATGGTGTCCTCTGATAAGCTAAACAAACTGAAAATAGTCATTAGATAATTTTAAAGTCCAGACTATGTTGACTCTGAGCAGATACTGTGTGAGCTCTTTTCAGAAGCGTAAATTGGATGATATCTTCAGCACTCATTTTACCTATGAAACTTTGATTTCCTCAAGCATTTACAATGATGAAGATGGAAGAGACATGCACCCATGGATAACCAAACTCTTTCCTGTGTGCCTTACAAGATGGCTTTCCTCAGTCCAGGCCCCTCACTAATTGTGTTCTTCTTGAGCTAATATTAGTGCTGTTTGACAGGCCTGGGCTTGGTGAGCAATAGAGGAAGTGAATCAGATTTTTATGATTCCACCTGACTTTTAAAAAATATTTTATTTATTACTTTTATTTTATGTGTACAAGTGTATTGCCTGCACATATGTGAGTGCACCCATGTCGTGCAATGCCACAGAGGTCAGAAGAGGGCTTCAGATTCCCCTGGAATTGCAGTTAAGGATGGTTCATAGCCACCATGTGGGTGCTGGGAATCAAACCCAGGTCCTCTGCAAGAGCAGTCAGTGCTCTTAACTGCTGAGCCATCTCTCCAGCCCCCCACCTGATTTTTAATTGAATAATCCATATACAAATGAAGTATACTGTATAATTATTTTGATTAAAAGGTACATTTCATATTGTGAACTACATGTGTATTCATGTATATTCCTTTCTTCCCTTTGAATTGCATGAAAAGTTAGCCTACCTTTAAAGAACCTTGAAGCAGTGTCACGTTTGTACATGAGTGCACACATTAGTCTTACTAGCGCCCTTCCTAACTAAGCTAGAGCATGTGATTACTTTTTGTAGATGCAGTGGATACTTTTGGGAAGATGACTACAGAAAATGTGACTAAAACCATTTTAATTTATATTGAAAGACAAATCAATATAAAAAACTCAGAATTAATATGACCACACTATTCCAGAGTATGAATAAAAAACTTTAAGTGGATAGTGCTGAAGAAAAGAACTTGAACCGAAGTTACAGCTTAGCCTTACACAGACATGTTTAATTCATGTTGTACTGCACGGGGTTCATCATTTGCCCACCTGGGAGAAAACTGTACACTGCTGTGGCTTGAGGAATGACTATAGTTTTTCAAATAATCAACTGAATTCTCTGTAGTTCTGATGGATTCCATGGCTGTTTTTGCAGTTATCTCAGCACAGCCCTGAAGTTCCTGCAGGCAGTCCATTTCAGAGCTACAACGAAGAAGACTGCCTTGTAATTGATGGGGAAAGACTGGAAGCTGGAGAGTGCATTGAGAGCATAACCAACAAGTTTAAAGAAATAGATGCCCTAATGTCTGAATTTTAGGATATTACTCATTCCCAAAAGTTAATTGTGAAACACTAGCAAATGTTTAGTGAAATAAGTATACAAAAGGTTGATATTTGTTACAACTTTATATTATGAATATCCATTGCTTTCAGAGCCTAATAAATGATATTTGGATTAGGGGGTTAGAACTGAAGAATTTGAAAAATCCTGATGTTTGTATTTGTAGATTTTTTTGTTTGCATTAATCTAAAATTGTTTATAAAACTTACCTCATAAGCATGTGCTTTACAATGAGTATGTAGGCCCTTTATTCAAACGTTACTAAAGATTAAAATGGATGTCTATTATATTACAATTCTTAGAGATATCTCAGATATAGCACACTTAGAGAATATGTTTTTGTAGTAGGCTGGAACTATTTTAAGTTATAAGGAAATAAGAAAAATATAGCTGTATAATAAAGTTGTAGATTTCTTTGTTCTTTTTTGAATTTTGTTTTTGTTTTGTTATTGTTCTTTGAGACAGGATTTCACTATGTTGCCCTGGTTGGAACTTGCTATGTAGACCAGGCTGGCCTCAGACTTACAGAGATCTACCTGCCTCTGCTTCCCAAGTGCTAGGATTAAAGGTGTACTCCACCATACCTGGCAAGTTGGAGGTTTCTTAAAAGACGAATTATCAATTGTCTCATTGTATTAGAAACAACTATTTTCAACATGCTTCCCCAAACGTAACAATACCAGGGTCCTGGACACTTCCCTTCTGAATCCGTATCTCTGTACGTAAGCTTGAGAAAATGTAATTGAAAATGTAGCCAAAGAACTTAAACTTGTCCCATATGAAATATCAGTAGTATGGAAAGGTAAAAATGTGCATCATTTCTCAAGGATTCCCATGATCGGTTTCATGGATGTCTGTATAGTGATAGAGTAGTGAGCCACCTGAAGAATATAAAGTCACAGACAAGTGCACAGAGATGTTAGAGATTCAATGTGGCTTTATAGAAAGGAGGTGACATGAAATTGCCCTTCAGAATGATCTTCACTAGGCGAGAGAGCCTCAGGCCATGGACAGCCACGGCAGGGCCTTGAAGTATGAGAGCATGAGGAGGGATGGCCACCACATATAGCATGATGGGGTCCTGAAGGGAAAGAGACAGAGCCTTCAACTCCAGAGAATGAAAGAGGTTTCTCATTCCTATAGATTTTCAGAGGGGTGAGTAAGCTTCATACTACATGACTGAACCTGACACAGTCTATGAACCAGAAATCAGGAAAGTGCGAAAAAGCTAGCTATAATTTGAGGTTGTCTTGGTCTGGGAAACAGGGGATCTGGGCTTACACTGTGAGTGGGAGAGAGGCTGCAAGGCACAGCATAGCATGCTTTCTTATTAGCTTTCTGCCCCAGTCACTCAGAAAGAGAGGTATGCCCTGATTTCTAGGCTAGAGAGAGATGTAGCTAAAGGGTTTATAACCTAACAGTGAGAAAAATAGGAACAAATAATTAACCTTAGTAACTAGAGAGTATAGGTGGTGGGGTATAAGGGGAATTGAGGATGGATAAAGCAGGTAGGATTTGTTCAAGGAAGACCTATACCAAGGTATGCAACAGGAGACCCAGGTTTTGCAGTATGTCTGTAATTAAACACTCAAGGGTGCTGAGTGCAGGGACTGGGTTGGAATCAGACCATTCTGAGACTGGTGTGCATGAGAGGGTAGCAGATAGACATTATTGTGCCAACCTGTGCCCCATGTCTGAGGAAATCCATGTCCTGATGTTAGCTCAGATTGTCGGTTTCCCCTTCAGTGCCTTAGGTTGCCAGCAGCCAGCCAGCAAGCAACTGGAAGGTTAGGTGTCTGCTCAAAGTCTTATTAAACTCTCAGCTACCTGGGAATAATGTGCACGGCTGGCTGCTGAATTTTAAATGGCAAAGGGTCTCTGCCTGTCAGGAAGGTTACAGGTAGATACTTTCATTTGTCCTCCATGAAAGCTTAATATCATTTTCTTCTGTTCAAGTCAGCTTATAGACCTCATTACTTCAAGTTCATCGGTGGCTAGAGCAGCCTCTTTTATTTTATGGTACTCTCGGAATCATGCTGGTGAAGAGCTAATGCATTTTTAACCAACTTGAGTAATTGAAAGCTCTGGTACTGTAGTGCATCCAGACAGTTGCTGGTAACTCACTACGAGCAGAATATGTCAAGAGACTCCGGTTTGGGGACAGGTTCCTTGAGGTGGGGCTATATGTCTTTCTCCTTATTTCCCACATGCCTAGGCTATATCCTAGTGCCTGACTCACTTATGTTAGACCACTGTCATTTTGTGTTGATTTCAAACTTCCTGACAATCTAGCATGTCCAGAAAGATTGATAAGTTGTATCCTCAGATACCTCTGGTGTGAACCTATGGTGATGGTTTTTTTCTCTAACTCTTCCTAGCACCTCCCAACAGACACATGCCACAATAATGCGAGGTAACCAGCCACCTCAAGTGCTACCGTCAAACCTTCTTTTTGAATTGGAGAGTCTGTAAGGCTCAGCTGGTGTGGCTGCTTTCAGTGGTTCTCCCTTATGTCCATGGTCAGCTTCAGGTATGCTTGGGCAAGACTCTGTTGACCTTGCTAGGCTTTCTCACATGTCTGGGGACCAGACAGCAGTTAGTGACCTAGAATAGAACATTCTCAGGTTGGGAAGGCAGGGGAACTTGACTCTAATTCATGTTTCACCTTTTGTCTTGTAACCCAGGCATGTCCTCATGGCGATAACAGAGCAGTAAGAGCAAGAGCAAGTCTCACTGTTAGGTAGCTGTTTAGGTATCAACAGGCTTAGAGGGCATGAGGTCCCAACCTCTCCTTCATAACAGCCTATAAAACCAAGCAATGAAACAGCAGGTCCCTAATTACTGGTTTGAAGAACAGGACCTCAATTCTATCTTTGCCCCCAGGAGGATGCTTGACATCCTGAACTACCCAGAAGATCATCTAAAGCTACCTAAACCTGGTTCTAGAGCCCTAAATCTTACAAGATTTCTGTCTAGCAGCAGGCTTTCTAATAAAGAATAAAGATATACCACTGTCCCCTCTTGTAAGAGTCAATCCAAATGGATCTGCCAATCACTGGGACAGGATAAAAACTCTCGGGAAAAGCTGCTTGTTCTAGAGATTTTGGAAATAATATAAAGCCTGCCTCAAATGTAGAGCAGCATAATGGCTCCTTTGGTCATTGTCCACTTTTGCCCTTTGAGAATGTGTTTTGCCTTACTCTAATAAATGTTACTTATTGTCTACATGTCACTTTTTATGTCTCATCTGAATTCTTTTCATGGAAAGCATGAGGACCAGGAAGCTGAGGGGAGTGCAGTGAAATCCCAGTGACAGCATCAAGCCACTGCTTCCCTGCCTCTCCACGCACCTGTTTGCTAACATTGCTTTGGTCAAACCAAGTCACATAGCTGACTCCAGTCAGAGCTGGAATGTGACACTGAAGAACATGGATACAGGTATGGATCAGGCCACTCAAGCTCATCAAAGAGAACACTTAATATGAAAATCGTATGCATACTTTGAACAATAGACAAATTGGTGTTGATATCTGAAAAATCCTCACAAGCTTATTTCCATATAAGTATGTACTTTTAAAAGCACTGATGGAATAATAGCCAAAATGGGTCTCCATTGCTTTTTTTTTTTACTTCTTAACCATATACTGTAAACATTTGCATAGTATAAAAATTGTTCTACAACATTTTACTAATCTAGTATTTCACTACACTTATATCCACACAATAAAGTACCCTCTTAATGTACATTAATTTGTTTCCAATGTTTTCACAATTATAAGCCACTTTCCCATGAAAATCCTTGTTATTCAATCTTTGCATGCATTTATAAATTTTTTTCCTAGTCATTCCTGGAAGAGAAATTGATGGGTCAGAGTATCTGTGTAATATCAAGGCTTTTTGTGTTCACCAATTTACTATCAGTCACCAGATGTGCATGAGTATGTCTGTTTCTTAGCGAGGCTATTAGTTACAACAGTATATTTGGCTCAACTTTTCCCTAAAGACTCAGGGACTATGAGATTGGTGTTGTTAATTCTTAAAGAGTGGTCAAAGTGGGCATCAGCAAAAGCCACACACTTGGGTCTGAAGAATGACTGAGATAAGAATAATAAACCAGGCTGTCAACAGGGGTGAAATGAAATGTTGAAAGAAGAAGTTACATGATTTAGATGTTACATGCATTTTTAGTAAACCATTGTGAAAAATATTAGGGGAGAGCATTGCTCTGGTGAACATTTTGGTGGACTGATAGAATTCTGAAATCTAGGCTGAATTTCTTTCTGTTTGGACATAGCTAGGGAAGTAGGGGGTGCTTTAGAGAATGGCATCATTCTACTGATTGCTTTGAGTCAAGTCACCCTGCAGCTTGTCTTCATGTACTATAAACTTGGTCAGTGAGATTTTGTATTAGTTCCTAAGCTGGTAATCTCTAAACTCGACCTTTCCTGGATTACACTGGATTTTTTTCTTTATAACACAAGTATGGACACTGTTCTTTCAATCCATGTGTACTTATTTTGTGTCTGGGTAGTACCTCTTTGTAAGGCCTAGTTTGGGATGCTGGCCCTTTCCTCTGTTCCACCTGGAAGGTGTGACACCTTTTCTTACTGTGAGGACCATGGCCAACACCCCAATAGCAAAGACAGACTGACATAAGAATAATGCAACGAGTGCATTTAATCATGGCTTTATGTGACAGGAGCTGCCAATATGAAGAACCAGAAGTCCAAGGAAACTGGAAATTTATACTTAGGTTTTTATGAAGAATGGACAGCAATGTAGATATATGATTTGATGGGGTTATGATCTAATGGTAATAACAGTAGGGGACAGCAAGGCTTTGTTCAGATCCTTCTTGCCTCTTTGTGCAGCTTTCATTTGTTCTGGGTTTGGGGCAGGGCCTTACCTAGAGTGGTAACCTTGCCACCTACTCCAGACAAGGTAAGCCAGAGAAGTTTTTTGTGTCCACCTTTCATACTGAATATTGGGAAGTTAGAGTGATACTTCAATTTTTATGGATGGCTTTGAGGGGAAGGGTTCTGGTTTCTGTAATCCACCCTGGGTAGAGGAATTCTATTTTCTGCTGCTTACCTGGAGAGAGAATAAGAATTGAGAGGTAAGAGGTCAGAAGAAGGACAGAGAAAAATCTCTGTGCCTGGGGCTGCTTCCAAAGCCTTCATTCAGGGCTTTTATTTTCTAGGCCACAGCCCCACCCCTGGCACAAACTATTTAAATGTCTTTCAAAACCATTGTTGCTCTGTTCACACTATAGATTATGGATACCTCCAGGTCAGGTGGTTTACTTTATGAACTTTATAATTTTATAATCATTGAATAAATGAAC